CCTCTACTTTGGACTGAACGGTGAGCGTGGAAATAAATACAAATGCTGCAAGATTCAGGTGAATTTGTATGTCTTTGAGTGTTTAAAATCTTTAGTTCTTAAACATTTTCCAGATATGCAGTTTAGTGATTAAAAAAAAGTTTAAAAAATAAAAACGTTTTGCATTTTCTAGCTGTGTGACATTGAAAACGTGCTATTGGTTAAAATTTATAGTATTTTGCAATGAAGACAGGAAATGTGATCTCCAACAATTATTTGCTTCACAGTGAGATTATTAAAAAATGTTTGCCAGAGGCTTTACAAGGATTTCAATTTGTAAACTTGTCAAAAAAAGTCCCCTAATTAATTAAATCCGACTTGAGTGTATTGCAATGTGTTTGTATAGCGTAAGTGTGTCTTTGTGGGAGTACGTGCTTCTCCAGCGCAATATTCTCCCAGTAAATAAGATTTGCTTGTTTTAAATCCAGAAGAGAACATGCAGGAGTGGAGGGTTGTAGGCATTTCAGCACAAAGTACAAATGTAAAAAAATAGACATGGTATGAAAATGTTTGTGGTGAAACTGAATGTGGCATCCTATGGGGAGAAATAGATTTAATCAGGGTTGCACATACAATTTTTGRTCTGGTTCTCAGGGGAGAACCTAGGGTTGTTGCTTGGCGCTCATGTTTTCCTTCACTCATTTAAAACATTTTTCTATATGGGCATCAGGGCATCTAACATCCCCCTTTTCTGTTTTATGACTCCTATCAGCTGCAACATCTCAGGACATCATGCCAAATCAGTCCAACAAGTTTTTTATTTTTATTTTATTATTTTACTCTGCATAAATTTTGTAAACTACCTAAGTGGCTCAGGGGCTGGGTGCATGTCATATAAACATTGCAAACTGAATTTTTCCTGGTTAAATGTCTTTTAAACCACACATGTCCCTCAGGTGGACAGCTCCTGTAGTTTGGTCTTCTGCGTCCTCAGCTTTGGTTAAAGAAGCTTTCCACACCCTCCAATCCAAGCAGCAAATATCTGTCTTTTGCACAGAGCAAAATAACTTAAAACATACAAACGTTTTATTTGTCAGACTGATTTATTTAAAAAAAACTATTTTATTCAAAAATATTATATTATTTAGATGGTTTAAGCT